GGGCGGCCCGCGGGTGCGCGGGTGTGGGCGTGCCGGGGGCACCGCCGAGGCCGGCCATGCAGATGGAGGGGGCGGGACGCGGGCGCCGTGACTCGGAGCCCCGGAAGCGCGGAGAAACCCCGTATAAAAACTACTGGGGACCTTTCTCGGCCAGAACTACGAAAGCTCCGGAGACGGCRGCAGCCTGCGGCGACAGCGAGCGGGGCGGCCTCTTGGGCGGTGCGGGGCGGCCTCTCCGTCGGCGCGGGGCGGCCGCTGCCCCGGCGGGAGCGCGGAGAGCGGTGCAGGCAGCGGCGCTGCAGGTCCGGCACCTTCCCTTATCCTGCAGCACCACCTGGCTCCGGGGGGCTTTTTCTCCCCCCCACACTCCAATTTTATTTATTTATTTATTTAAATCTAATCAGTAGGTGTGTCCCCCCCTCTTCCCCGCTGGAAGGGACGCCCGCGGGGAACGGAGCGCGGGTGCCGGGTGCACGCAGCTGCTGACCGCAGGCTTTTCCTCCTCTTTTGCCAGGCGCGGAGGGAGAGGGGCCCCGGGGGGCCGGCGGGGAGCCGGAGCGGTGCCTGGATCCAGCCCGGGGAGGCGGCGGCCGCTCACCATGGCAGACGATGAGAAGGCCGGCGGTAGCCCCGGCGAGAGTTCCGCGGGCGGCGGCGAGAGCGCGCACTGCAACGTGCTGAGCTGGGAGCAAGTGCAGCGTCTGGACCGCATCCTCAGCGAAACCATCCCCATCCACGGCCGCGGGAACTTCCCCACACTGGCCATGCAGCCGCGCCAGATCGTCAAGGTGGTGCGGAGCCGGCTGGAAGAGAAGGGCATCGGCCTGCGGGACGTGCGGCTGAACGGCTCGGCCGCCAGCCACGTCCTCCACCAGGACAGCGGCCTGGGCTACAAGGACTTGGACCTCATCTTCTGCGCCGACCTCAAAGGAGAAGCCGAATTTCAGACTGTGAAGGACGTGGTCTTGGACTGCCTCTTGGATTTCTTACCCGAGGGAGTGAATAAGGAGAAGATCACGCCTCTCACCCTCAAGGTAAACCTGTCCTCTGCCCAGACGCCCGGAGAGAGCAGGTGTGAGCGCCTGCCTGCGGGGAGTGGGCACCTTCCCCGTGGGGATGGAGGGGTGCGCTTAGGGATGCAGCTCCCCCCCACCCTCCCGCGGCCCGCGGAAACCCTGAACGATTTTTTCACCCCACGTTTAAAACAGAGGAGGAGTTTGCAGTGAAGCGCCCTGACCGGGGCTCTTCGGGATTAATTAGCTTTTTCTCCCGTCCGGTTGATTTGCTGGGAGCGTTGCTTCTCACATGGGGTGTGCGCCAGGCGCTGCACATCTCTCTCCCAGTCCGGCTCGGCGGCAGCGCGGCGTGCCGGACCCGGTTCCCGGGTGCTGGGGGAGCGTGCTGGATTTAACACCTGCAAGAAGGGAACCCCGTCTGCAAGGCATGTTTCCATGTGTGCTAAGCGCCCCAGTGGGGGGGCATATTGCCCCCTCTAGAAGACACTTCGCCTGAGTTGATWAGGCTGAATGCCAAATGCCATTCAGATTTTTAGAGGGTATTTTTTTTTTTTAAATATGGGGCTGATTTGTGGAATCTGCACTGGTAGGATTGAGGGGAATAAACACTTGCTAACTTGTTTTTGTGGGGAGTAGAGAGAGATGTGAAAACTAATAAATAGGATTTCTTATCTGATTCTAGTAGTGACCTTTCGCATATAGGTGCAGGTATATTTGGCAGGTGTGCCATGGACTTAGTGTGTAGATGTATTTAGAAATGAGTGAAAGAAGCAGTGTTGCTRTATGCTTCCCTTGCGTGACACAGTCCCAGCAGAACACCCTTCCCTGTCATACCCTTGCAGTGACAGCATTTTGAGCTCTCACATTAAGCACTTGTTCTCTGGTTTGTATCTGCAGGCTACATGAAATATTTTATAAAGTGCAAGTATTGGGGGGGGGCGGGTGATTGGGAGGGGGTGAGCAATGTAGTGAGGGGAAACTTCTTGTGTCTTTGTCTTGATTTGCTCATTTTGTCTTTCTAATTATAGGAGGCTTATGTGCAGAAAATGGTAAAAGTCTGCAATGATTCAGACCGATGGAGTCTTATCTCCCTGTCCAACAACAGTGGCAAAAATGTGGAGCTGAAATTTGTGGACTCTCTGAGGCGGCAGTTTGAATTCAGTGTCGATTCCTTTCAAATCAAGCTGGACTCCCTGCTGCTTTTTTATGAGTGCTCAGAGAATCCGATGACTGAAACTTTTCACCCAACTATCATTGGTGAGAGCGTTTATGGGGATTTCCAGGAAGCCTTTGATCACCTCTGCAACAAGATAATTGCCACCAGAAACCCAGAAGAAATCAGAGGAGGTGGTCTTCTGAAATACTGCAACCTTTTGGTAAGGGGCTTTAGGGCAGCCTCCGAATCTGAGATTAAGTCCCTGCAGAGATACATGTGTTCGAGGTTTTTCATTGACTTCTCAGACATTGGCGAACAGCAGAGAAAGCTGGAGTCCTACTTGCAGAACCACTTTGTGGGATTAGAAGACCGCAAGTATGACTATCTCATGACCCTTCACGGTGTGGTGAATGAGAGCACAGTGTGCCTGATGGGACATGAGAGGAGACAGACTCTGAATCTGATCACCATGCTGGCCATCCGGGTCCTAGCCGAGCAAAATATCATCCCCAATGTGGCCAATGTCACCTGCTATTACCAGCCAGCCCCATACGTAGCGGATGCCAACTTCAGCAATTACTATATTGCCCAGGTTCAGACGGTGTTCCCTTGCCAGCAGCACACATACTCTACTTGGCTGCCCTGTAATTAAGGACCGAAATTAGTAGACCTGGTGGGGAAAACATTTTCTAAGATGTAGGAAGGGGCGACGGGTCCCTCTGAAATGGGGTGTTTTGTGCAATGGTGATCTGCTCTAGTTTTCAAGCTTGGGAAAAGCTTGTGGTTCTTCTAATAAATAATGGGAGCATGATCAAGAAAGAACCCCAAAATAATTGGATCCTACCCCAGAGCACAAGAGGCCTGTCATTAAAAGCAACCAGCTTCCCCTGAAATAAGTGAGGGAGGAATGCTTGATGACAATATGGGTTGGCAGTGTCTGCTCCCATAGCTTTGGCATAGAGAAGGTGGGAAAGCCTTATTTTCTTTTATTTTTATTCTTAMTCTAGAATGGGATCTGCAAAAGGGAGAATAAGAAAGAAACAAAACAACAAAAAAAACAACAAAAGAAAAAAACTTCACAAAAAACAATTCTATATATATTCAGGAGTTAAAAGTTAGAGGCATAAAGCAGAGATAAGCTGAATAAAATTGTATATTGGAATTACTGCATTTGGGGCTTGCAGCAAGTGCCGTCTATGGATTGACCATGTAGAATGTATAGCTTGCTTGACTAGAATGCTTTATCAGAAACAGCTTGCTCCAAATGAACAGTAGTGGATTGGTACAGTTATAAAAACAGAAATATGTACGATGACAAAGTCCATTATTTCCAGCTGTGTGCATGCCTCACATTTTAAAAATGTGAGAATGCTGGAAAACCAGCTGTGGCAAGAAGTGTATACTCAAGGACCAAAGATTTCACAAATAAGTTATCCAAGCAAAGAAGATACAGTAGAGTATATATATAAAAATATATATATAAAAATATATATATATGTAAAAGGAAGAAAGATGTTCCTATATTTGTACACACCAATAGTAATCAAAAGTGCCTGATGCCTTCATAAAATTTGAAGTGAGAAAAAAGATATAGTTTTGTGGTTTAACCATGCATTTTGTTTTATCAGGGACAAAAGGATTAAAAGAAAAGCAAACCAACCCATAAGCTTGTGAATAAGTGGTGGAGGAAATGCCCTATTTTTTTTTCATGGCAAATACCTGTATAGAGTTAATATTTTGTCAGTGTGCTATTATCCTAGGTATGTGTGTGTATGTGTGTATATATGTTTGTGTGTGTATATATGTATATGTTATTGGTGTATATCTATATATATACACACACAATATATATTARTGTGGTCTAGGAAAATGTAGCAATTAAGGAATGTTTAAATAAAGTACTACTTGTTTTCCAGTTTGCAACAGGATGTCATAGGACAGTGGGCACCTTGCAGTGAAATTTTAACCCACACCTGAGAAATTTGGAGTAAATGAACCAGTCAGGATTAAGGTGGGATTCAGATAATGTCTTTGGTTGCAAGAACGAGGATTACAGTAATTCAGTGGGTTGCTTGTGAGCCATAATAATTCCACAGATGGAGAAACATATGACTAGCTGATTTTTTTTAACTGTTTTGTACTGTAATGCCATTTTGACATTTAACCCACTAATGTTGTGACTGCATACCTCCATGATGTGTAATTCAGTGGAACGTGGATCAAAGATAGGTTTATTTAAACCCCCTGACAGCTAAAGAATATTGTATTAGTTGGTGATTTGAACACTAATTGTTAATATTTAAAGGAGTATTTTTAATAGAATGCATTATGCATTCCAGGACCACTAGAATTTAGCAAATGTGAAATGAACCCTTTTTAAGAGTGTTGCACGATTGCTTAAAATTATATTTTATATATATATTATATATATATATTTTTATGCAAATATTAAACATCTTTGATCTGGTTGTCACACTGCATTTACAATTTTAGTACTGTACTTTATTTAAATGGAATCACTTTACATTGGAACAATAACCATTCAYTTTCATTTCCTCTCCCGAAAGATCAGCAGGGGGGAAAAAAACCAACCTCCCCTGCTGTTTTCACTTCAGTGCCATCTCTGAAGGTGTTAAATTCTTTGTTGGGCTTTGAAAACCTAATGACTAAGTGACACTTGACTCTGATATTTTGCTTTTTCTTTCTGAGGGGAAAAATAAAAAAAGGAATTCAGGCTTTTGAAGGAAATCTGTCTGTGCCCTGTCTGGTCACAGGCACGGTGTGGTGTTGCAGTCAGGGGCAGAGAGAAAGGGGCAGGACTTGTGTCCTGGCAGTGTATTTTCCCTATGGAGCGAGTAAGGTACATCTATTTTTGTCGCTTTTTGTGCTTTTCACTCCGCAGGCACTTTAATAGGAACCCGATTTGTTTACTGAAGCACCTTCCCTGTGAGTCCTTCAGGAAACTTGAAAACTGGTCCAATGCCATTGCTGGCATTGACGTGCAGACCTTGTCCCCACCTTCCCTTCCKTCGGTGCTGGCTGCAGCCTCCCGCTGGCTCCTTGTCCCGGTGAGGTTCCCTCCCGCCCCCAGGAGGGTCTGCATTGGGTGCTCCTGGCCCCCTGGCTCTCCTTTCCTCCTGCTCCTGGTTTGCTAGGGGAAGGCTGGGGAAATAGGATCAGCTGGTAATGTGGTATGTCTTCTCTCCCACAACTATTTGCAGCAAATAAATGAGTCATCCCATCTTTAAAAGGGTTTGAGAATCTATAGCTGTGCCACAACCACAGAATGCTGATAATACATGACACAGTGTTGTTTTCCTTTGAAGGACCTTTTTTTTTTTGCTATTGCTTGAAAGAAAGTTTTGAATTACTTCCTCTCAGCTCAAATTTTATTGTGGGTTGGTTTTGGTTTTTTTTTTTTTTTTTTTTTTTTTTTTTTTTTTTTTTTTTTTTGATTGACAGCAGCTAGTTACCTTATAGTGCATACAGCAGGGCTCTGAGCTAAACTGCACCTTTTGGCATTTGCATTTTGATACATATATAATATGTTTTCATATATATTATATAGGTATTCCAGATCTGTTTTACATATGTTAATGATCAAGTGGTGGAACTGGTGGAGCTTTGTTTTGTTTGTGACTGGTTGCTTAAAATGTGCCTGGTGTTAGAGGTGGGAAGAAGGTATGAGTTCAGGCCAAGAGTAAAATAAGAACCCCTTTACAAAGTTGGTTTATTTCTGTGGTTTGCACACCTTTCCCTCCATAAAGTCTGACTTCTTTTTAACTGTTTTTTSCCCTCCTCTTCAGCACACTGGTACTTTTAAAGTTAATAACCGCGTTCTTGCTTTGTAGACTTCATCTGTCCCATCCAATCAGCTGTAAGGTTAGAGCTTGTGCTACAGGAGACAGTGCYTCTTTTAAAGAGCTGAACTGATTAAAGACATTGACCTGATTACAGTAAAACTGTTTGTGCCACAGCTGAATTTCCTGCTAACCAACAGGGCGCTAAACTTGGTTAAATGTAGCGATCGTGAAACAACCAAGAGCTTTTAAATGGGATTTTTTTCTTTTTTTCCCCCTTAGATGTAGCTGTCCTCCCAAATGCAAGAACATTTCTTCTAAAAATAGAAGGGCAATTAGAAGACCAAAAAGATGATATTTTTCTAGCTTCTCGTATTGCACTTAAAATATTTTTTATCTTGCACAAGGGCCTTCACACAAGTCCTCTAAACAGCTCTCATTAAATGCTTGGTTTGCATCACATCAGAAGCTCCTACCGGTTCAAAAAAGGCGCTTTTTTAAATTGAGAAAATGAAGTGTGTTAGATAAAACTGCACAGAAAAGGTAAAATTGTATTTGCATATTCAGCTCCTATTTGAATACATTCTTTTGTATGGTTTTCTTTATGCAGAGAATTTCACTTGCAAGAAAGAAAATCAGTGTACTGTTTTGCTGTTGTAATAGTGGTTTGCTAACAAAATAAATAGTAAAAAAAAAAAAAAAAAAGCCTGCAAATTTCAAGACAGCTTGGCTAAAGGCACTGCAGGCTCCTGCAGTCTGTAGGAGTCTGTGCAGATTTGCTTTCCCTCAAATTTCCTTACAACTGTTGCCTTCTGCAAGGCATCCTGTTGCAGCAAACTGCTCCTTGGATTGCTCTTTTGGAACATTTTGACTATAGGCTTTGTCACAGACAGAAAAAGAGCTGATGGAAAACAGACTCTAGAGGGAACAGATTGTGAATTTTGTTTACAGCATCCAATATTTGGATTTTTTTTGTAAATAAAAAGAAGTTATTTTTTTCTATTGATTTGTGTCTGCTGTCTTCCGTGTCTGAAATAGCTCTGGCCTGCTCCTACTGAATACCAAGTTCGCTTTCATTAAAAAAGGACAAGGGCAGCACTTTTCTGAGAAGACTAGCATTCGGCTGCCTTCTGATTGGASCACAGAACATTTTGAAAAGCCCTGCCTCATGCCAGCCGAATTTGGCTGKCTGTACTCAGCTGCAGAGGAACCTCCCCAGCCACTGCCAAAAATATGCACTCCAGCATTGGTCAAGCYGTGCAAATGGTCCGAAACAAGAAAACTGAAACAGCGCCATGGCAGCTCCACACCCTCACTGCCCCCCCAGTTTCGATTGCAGGAGCGGGGTTTTGTGATGKCTGTGATCTGTGCACCACAAACCACCGTGCTGGCAGTAATCTGGGGGTCCTGGTGCCCTTGAGATGTATTAGATAGGGGCTGATGTCTCCACCTTACTGTCTTGGTGGGTCCAGGGGCCAATGGTGTGCTGCTGGCTGGGCAGGAAGGTGGTGCCAGCTGTTGCTTGCAGGATGCTGCAGGTCCTGAAGCTTGGGGAGCTGCTGGGGAGAAGGGATGCACATGCCTGATTGATTCAGCTGCTGAATCAGTCCAGTTCTTCCTGAAGATTCAATGTTTACTCCTCTTCCCTGCCCTACAATGCTGCCCTTGTCAGCAGAGGTATTTTCTGTTYTCTGTGTTTACAGGAGAGATGCCTCAGTAATGAAAGCTAATTTCCTCAAAAAGCACTTCAAGGGAGTATAAAATATTAATTTACAATGCTTGTGGCAATACTTTTTCAACCAGTGCCTCAGACTGACCCAAATTTGAAAAACATTGGCTAAGACTCTGCAGTATGTAGCTCTTACTAGACTCATTCATACATGGTGCTGCTCTTGGAAGTCTCAGACTGGCTCAGTGGGAGCGTGAATATGGTTGTTGTAATGATGAGTGAACTTGTATTCCTCTGTGAAAAAAACAAACAAACAAGCTGGTGGGACTGCTCGTTTTTCCAGGCACAGGAGCAGCTCCCTTGTGGAATGCCGGGTGCCCTCTACACAGTAYCTCTTTTGAAATCAGCCTGGCCAGGAGGGGGTGATGCACTCAGCATCCCTGCTCATACAGCATCGCCTTTCCTCCCATGATGCTGCCAGAAAAGGGAGGGGCATGTGGCCTAACCTTTCCTCCTGTTAACTTGCTCAGTTAGAAAATATTTCAGGCAGTTTGACAAAGGCAACTACCCAAAGACACAGATGGAAACTGGGGGATTGGAAATCATCTAAATCCAAATGCCTTTGCTTGTCTCTCAGAATCCAAGCCCAGATGGATGCTCTTATGCTTTGGAGTGAGTTAATTCCCATTTCTCTGCTTAAATTTAGGGGGACTTTCTTGAGAGCCAGTTGATCCTCTTTCCCAAACTTAGGAGGAGTGTGATGAGGACACAGCCAACTGAATGCTCACTTTAAAGTGTTGTGTTTTTCAGGAGGGAGGAAGCGCTCAGTACTGAAGAGGAGGGAGGGTACAAACAAATTGGGACAGTGGGAATCACCTGAACAACAGCACAGTGGAAAGCTGGAGGACATGCTGATGGATTGTAGTAGGAGGGGAGAAACAGCTTAGTAGGAGAGAAGAAATAGCTCAAGTCTAACTTCTGCTCACCCTGCTAAAGTAAGTCAGATC